ACATATTAATCATATTCTATTTCTAAAGACTGGTAAAAGTAAATTTGCCTTACCAAAGTATACAGGGCTAATTACCATATTTGTTCTAATAATCACCTGAGGAGAGAAATTACTGAATTAAAAGAAAATTGAACAGTATTCTAGGACAGAGATTACTAGCAGTAAGGATAAGAAGTTAAAGATATACGAAGTTAGTTAACTTGACAGCTATACAACAATAGAATGATAACATTTCAGTTCATTTGACTGTTCGAAATATGGCAACAGGGCTATAATTGGAGGACTATGAAAAGTCGTGGTGAAAAGGTTTTTCAACTATTTTATTTTTGCCCTCATAGCTGGTAATGGGTGAATGAAATTGAAAAATAATGTCATTCTGACAAAATCTTGAGTGTCATGTCAGTAAATGATTTAATTTTCAAGAAAAAATAGATAGTATCACTTTCATTGAGGTGACATGTTTGGGTTTTTTTCAGCAAAATAGATTTTAAATATTTTCGGAAATATAACAATTTGGATATGATTTTGGTGTCTTGTAAAGCTGTATACTGGTAATTGACCAAGGTGATTCATGTTTTGATTTTAAATATTACAACATAAATATCTTATGTGGTCATGATGTTCCATTTTCTCTGTTCCTGTATCGTACAATAAACCAGACTGATATTTAATTCTAGTCGACATCTAGTTCTTTTGCAATCATTGGTTTTTTCTTTATAAATTTTACCTTAATTTTTGAGCACTTAGTCTTTGTCAGTTTTCAATAATAATAATTTTGAAATCATATTGACGAAACTAGGCCCTTGGTACACAAATGGTTGTAAAAAGTTTTGTTTATGTAAATATTCTGCACATTACAGAAGCATTTTTAGGTCCGTTTAAATAGTTGGTAATTACTTATTGAAAATCTATCCATACATGATTGTGTACATCAAAATTATCTGGAAAAGGATTGTTAAGTAAGATTATGTTATTGAATTTTATTGTATGCAGCTGGTCTTCTATATTTGTGTGTAGCAAGTGGTTGACAGGTGGTTTACTTATTGTAGTGGTCGATCTGAGTGGGATTCTGGTTGTGGGTGGGATGGGGTGTTTGAGGGGTATGTTGAGAGGGGTGTAACATGTTTACAGAGAGAGAAAAGGGGGAAAATATAGAGTGGAGCGCAAATAACATACTTATAGGAAAACTAGACCATGCCTGATGATAAATGAACTGTTCAACGATAAATATATACCAATTCTATTTCAATGTCCTGTAATAAGCCCACCCCATTACTTTCACTAAGATTTAATATCTTGATTCCTGGGGTTTATTGTAGTATAAATTGGACAAGGAAAAAATACAGAAATAAAAGATAAGGGATGCATTATGTCGTAGATCTACCTACTTTTGTAATGGAATGCGATGAACGTTTCTCCCAAAGAATGTTACTATGGGGGGTATTTAGTATATTAATACTCAGAGATGGAAATAGAGAAGAAGGTACTGTGTTGTAGTGATTAGCATGCAGGCAAAACATTCAAGAAAAGAAAATGTCTTAAATCATTACGTGAATGGTAGATTTTCTGAGCTGTCTGTTGCGTGTTACTGGATACTGGCTGTAGTAAATGTTCACTCAAGCATTTATATCAAGATGTGAATATTACTGCTAATGTTAACAAATATTTGATAGACATAATTTAGGTTTAAGATTTGACATCATTTTTCAACCTTGATATTATCTTGAATTACTTTTATCAGTTTCTTAAAAATTTTATTTCAGAATTTGAAATATGACTATTAGATTAGTATAATATAGTGTACACTAAATTTGACTTTAAATTTGTGAAGATATTCCTACTATTTTATAAAAATTTCAGAAGATGAAATATTAAAATTTCTTTTAAAAAATGGAATTTATTGTAATAAAATACTTTGTGAATTAAAAAGTTGAAAATCAATTTTCTATGTGAGATTTGTGGACATTTACCACATGTTTAAGGGGAGGAACAGCAGAGTATGCATTTGGTTACAATGGGGTCTGTTGTTTTCATAGCTGATGAAGCCAGATACCACACACCAAGCCAATGTATAGAAATTGTAGGCAGCCATTTTCTCATCCTGTGTAATTTATTCTCAGATTATTTCCAAAACAAAAACTGTGGCACTGACACCTGTCTTTACCAGGACCTGTCCTAAATGACACTTTGTGTGATATATGACAGGATTTTATAGGTATAAACTAGCATTCTTAATCACATTAATTCATGGCATTTGGACCTAGAATGTTAATTCTACCAAGTTGTTTGCCTTAGTACTGGTATAGTCGTCATTGATTGGTTGTTTGACTTAGTACTGGTATAGTCGTCATTGATTGGTTGTTTGACTTAGTACTGGTATAGTCTAATCATTGATTGGTTGTTTGACTTAGTACTGGTATAGTCGTCATTGATTGGTTGTTTGACTTAGTACTGGTATAGTCGTCATTGATTGGTTGTTTGACTTAGTACTGGTATAGTCTAATCATTGATTGGTTGTTTGACTTAGTACTGGTATAGTCTAATCATTGATTGGTTGTTTGACTTAGTACTGGTATAGTCGTCATTGATTGGTTGTTTGACTTAGTACTGATATAGTCTAATCATTGATTGGTTGTTTGACTTAGTACTGGTATAGTCTCATTGATTGGTTGTTTGACTTAGTACTGGTATAGTGTCATTGATTGGTTGTTTGACTTAGTACTGATATAGTCTAATCATTGATTGGTTGTTTGACTTAGTACTGGTATAGTCGTCATTGATTGGTTGTTTGACTTAGTACTGGTATAGTCGTCATTGGTTGGTTGTTTGACTTAGTACTGGTATAGTCTAATCATTGATTGGTTGTTTGACTTAGTACTGGTATAGTCGTCATTGATTGGTTGTTTGACTTAGTATCAGTATGAGCTAGTCATTGGTTGGTTGTTTGACTTAGTATCAGTATGAGCTAGTCATTGGTTGGTTGTTTGACTTAGTATCAGTATGAGCTAGTCATTGGTTGGTTGTTTGACTTAGTATCAGTATGAGCTAGTCATTGGTTGGTTGTTTGACTTAGTCATTGGTTGGTTGTGTTTGTATTAGCTAGTCATTGGTTGGTTGTTTGACTTAGTATCAGTATGAGCTAGTCATTGGTTGGTTGTTTGACTTAGTATCAGTATTAGCTAGTCATTGGTTGGTTGTTTGAATTTGATACAGCTTTAACAAAGAGCCATGACATGTAGTGTTGTAGCATTTCACCTAATTTATATAAACTTCCATATTTTAGATTGTAGCATCCATCAAATATTGCTTATCATATATCATGCAAGACACTGCACATACACAACAACTACACACTCTTCAACAAACAACTATTGTTCCTATGTTTATTATTGTTTTAAAAATGATTTTCTTATGTCAAACTTGCTTTATTATGACCCAAAAATATTAATTTCAAAATGCCACTTATTAGGGTTTGTTGATATTTATAGAAAATTCCTTCAATCAATGATAGCAGAGGAAAATCAGCATTAAAGAAAGATTTTTAGTTTTATATAAAGAATACTTAGAATTTAGATACATCCAGAACACAATATTTAATGGACCAGCACCTTTGAAAGATTATTTTATTAAACCAGCATTAAACCTGTAATGAATTTAAATAGAAGAAGAAAAAAAAAGTAATTTTTCCTGCTTGGTGAATTTATTGTCACAATGATAATGAATATTTGGGTGGTCTTACCTTCACAAGTCTTAGTTATTAAAGTTTTTTTTGAAAGCACTGACTTAATTAAGTGTTTATTTATTCATGTCTTTTTCAGTGACAATTCATATTTTATATGAGTCTGAAGACATATTCCAGAAACCATTTAAAATCTATTTGCACTTCAAAATTGATTTTCAGTTCAGCATTACATTAAAATTGGTTTTTTATGCCTGTATAAAGTCACTCAGGTGGAAAGAAGTTGTAACTCTTGGGGTTTGAAGTCAATTAATAAATAATGCTATGTAGCGATATCTTGCTAATTTGGGTTCATTTTACTGGGGGGACTATTTTTCAGATCAATTTGAAAAGCAAAAACCAAATGAGAAATATTTATACAAAAGTTCATGCACTTTTAATTACTAAAGATAGCTCAGTAAAATCATGACACAGAAATTTACATGGAAGTGTTTTCGCTGATTAATATAGAGTTAAACGTAAATTTGCCTGGAACCATTGTGCAAGCAAAAGAGATCTAGGCATAATATTTCTGATTGTGATTACATGATAATCTGAAGTTCCAACTCGGTAGACACAGTTTTGGCATGTTTAACATCCTATTTAAAAAGACTCCTGAATGAAAAGCACCTTTTGATATTTTTAGGCATAGTTTAGCCGGGAAATGAATTACCTTGTATCACACATCTGTTTCCTCCTTCTAGGACTCATAAGTGATGCTAAGGATTTGATGAAACCTAAGAGACAAGAAAAATCATCTTTAAATGGGGATAAAGGTGACTAGGACCTTCATTTACTATAGTAATACTGGTAGAATTCTGAAACTTCAAAATATGAGGTAGAATTTTGAAACTTGCTTATCAAGTTTTGTTTTTTGTTTTTGTTTTCTTAAAAGGTTTTCAGTGTAATTCACCGATTAAGATTTATGTAAATCATTTAGAAATTGAATGGGTGGAGAGAGGATAGAAGAGAGAAATTCAGGGAGTTTGGGGATGGTGGAAGGAAAGGAGGGGAAGGCTTTCTGTGATAATACTTTGTGAAAAAGGAGTTGATAGAGGAGATGACCAGGGGGAGGGGGGCAGATTAAGATATAATACTTTGTGATAGGTAGTTGAGGATAGAGAAGGTGAGGGGGAGGGGGGCGGGGGGCTTCAGATATAATACTAAATGCTTCAAAAATTCACCACAGGTGGTTCATATATGACTGCAGGTCCATGGTGATGGTTCTATATCGAGAGTGAAAATATTCCAGATATGTGTTTTGTGCCAGGTTTTTATAGATATGGGTGTACCATCAATCATTGGAGAGGGTGTGGAAGATATAACAACTGACTTCTTGATGGTAATCCCTACTCTAGTTCTCGGTTTGTTTTGCAAGTCAACTGCCAATATACATAAAGTTACCCATTTCTAGATAACAAATTAATTATGGAGTGTACCTTTAGAACATCATTTTGTCTAGCATTGATTTTTTTTACTTCTGTAATATACTTTTAATCTTGTTACTTGTAATAAATCGTTGCCCTTGATCCCTGGCGTTAAATTGAAAGACCTATAGATAAAGAGTATCTGTTGTTGTATTTCTGTATCATATATTAACTTCTTTAAATGAGATTAATAAATGGCAATTCAGAAAATATATATATATATATATGTGTGTGTGTATATTTTGGTATTAAATGACAGCATAATCGTAAAATGAATATTTTTCAGTGAGATTTACAAAACGTTTCCAGAATTAGAGGGAATATTTACATTCATAAAATCCACTGAATCACTGCATTCCTAAAATACTGATATAGATGCCAAGATTCTTGTTATGGACATAACTTTGTAAATACACCTGCCCTTATTATAAACCATACTGCACATGTTTTAAGCCAAAGAAAAGCATTGTACCCACCTTTTGATCTCGTAATGTCAAGTTTTCATTGTTTGCATGTTGAACCTTCCAAACTCTGGCTAGGTTCTGGGAAGTATGGAATGGCCGAATGAATGTTACTCCATATTTGTGACTGAAATGATTTTTCTAAATATTGTATTTTCCGGGTATAAACAGCACCTGAATATAAGCCGCAGGGCTAGTTTTTAGTGACTTTTTTGTTTGCTCCACATATGCACCAAGATGCACCAAGATATAAACAGTTATGTTGACCAAAGTTTGTTGATATAAAAGAAAACGGAAGGCAATTTATAAAGGTCATCAGTACTAACTGAGTTCTATAAAACTTATACCAAGAAGATGAAACCTTAAGTGTAAAGTGTTGTAATATCTATTGGGAAGATGAAATCGAAGTTTAATGATGGATATTCAGATTAGCATATTGCACACTGATATATATATCAGTCTATATATATGTATATATATATATATGTATATATATATATATGTCTATATATTCTGAATTAGAAGAATGATTGGTCAATATATTCTGAATTTTAAAAAATGCCTAAATCTGATAAATTTGCTTTGAAACTTCATCAACAATTAGCTTACTAGAAAGGATATTAGGCCTTGTTAATGATAAGCAGAATTTTGACGTTTCTGATGATACTACACATGGTTGGTTAGTGAAGTCTGATGAAGGACTTCTTGAAATGTTTTTGAATTATGATAAAAAATTGTGATAATTTGAAATTCTTTGGAAGAAACATAGGCTATGAAAGATACGGATTTTAGTGAGTGATCTACAACACAAGGAATACTGAGGGTCATTATATCTGGTCTCCACAAGTTTCTCTTCAAGATTCGTCTAATATTTGTAAACTGATGTCTATATTCTGTCTTTCTGTAAAGCAGAGTTTTCTTGTCAGTAGCTATTGATTGTAAGGTCATTAGTTCTTGCAAGAAAATTTTGTTGTTTTGTCACAAATTAATGACATCAATATCTCACACACAAACGATGTATCAATTAATACCTGTTCACAACAAGAGCAGATAACTATGCATTATAAAAAGGTAGAATTTAATTATTATAAAGCTAAAGGTCAGAGATCAAACAGACGATGAGAAGGATCAATCTAATTTGACAAGGTTTATTTCCAACCTTAGGTTTGTGGGGCAGGATGGTTGGGAGGATAGGGAAGTGGGTAGTGTTTTATCCCATTCTGAATCAATGTCAAATTTTGAGAAACAGGCTTTAGTTCTTATACTTATTCAATAGAATCATAACAACATCAGGTTCTACACATGATCTGATATACAAAGAAGGAGGACGTGTGGGACATGGGGAAGGGGGACGTTTTGCTTGTCTTATTTACGGTAGTAGATATTTTCTGATATCTAGTTGTTTCCATGCGATTCTTCTACTTAATATCTTCCAAATAAAGTTTCAAAATATGACTTTCTTGTAATTAATACTTCCCGGTACCATGAAACAACCTTGACTAAATCATTAAAAGTTATAATAAGGATTAACAAAGTAGTCTACTTAAGGTATAAAGCTTGTTCATTCCACTCAAATGTTCAGCCATGCAGACCTTAATTTTTCTTGACAAGGCCATGCAAAATCTCTTTACAAGTTCAATGTATGGAGAATTTTGCAAACAAGGAGATTATCCAAAAGCTCAGGTAGAAGTGTGAAAAAATTTGAAAAAGATTAAGATTTGAGACAAGATGACTGCACTGTTGTTAGAACTGTACACTATGTTAAAAGTTCAGCTTATGTAGGTGTTGTGTTTGTAGACTGCTATTCTTATATCATGACTCCTGTTTGTGTTGTAGTATTTTCGAAACTACTAGTTCATTCCATGTTAAGATTTACTGTTTTTTTAAAGTCACCTATAAGATGTCATTTAACAATGGGTATTTTTTCCTTTAATTCCTCTACAAATTTGGTGGGAAATGTTGAATGGTGGCTCTGTTCATCTGTCTGTTCATCCTTCTGTCCAATGATGATAAGACAATTAATTATCCACAAATTACATCCATGGGATTCTGAATTTGACCTGTATTTCAAGCTTCGGTGATTTAGGTCAAAATTGCATGTTAATTGGTACCTGTAATGTTACTGATTTAATTAATGATAGGTGCTAATTACATTTGTTTACCAATTATTATTGGTAATGTTTCATTGCTATGCTGTTTATAAATCTATTTACCAAATTTGATAAATAAAGCATGGAAAGTTTACTTAATACTTTACTGGTGATCATTTATCAGTGCTTTTCCTGTGAGAGATAAATGTAGATATAAACATTATTTATTTTACAACAATTGCAAAACAAGCTATCAACTTTTATGAATCACTCTTGTTGACGCGGATGGAAGTACACGAAGGGTGGGAGGAAACCGCATGACACGGGGAAAACCCACATGGTCAGACAGGTGACCCAATATCTTTACAGGTCGTACCAGGAATCGTACCCTGGATGGGTAGGTGATAAACAAGTGTGTTACCACTGTACTACCCGAGTATCTTGTTAGAGATATTGAGTTAAACAGGATTTCTCTAATGGCAGTTTATGTATGGCAATTGTTGAAGATGCACAAATTCATCATAACACTATCTGTTACAAATTGATATTGTACTTAAATTTGTGTTAACTGTATGTGATGCTGTTTGGCCTCACAGTGATACATAGGTTAGTGGAATCATGACTGACACTATGATGAGTTTGGTGCATTGGTTATGCCACACATGTAACAATGTCATCCTTCTGCTATTATCTAACTTTATGTCACTGGTTTATTATCCCCTACATACTGACCACAATCCATTGTGTAGTTTTTGTAGTAGGACTACCTAGCCTCTTCTGTAGAATAGCATTGTCTTTGTGTATATAGAGATCAAAATAGATTAAGCCCGACAGACTTGATAGTGTCTATCCGTTAAATCTATAGTAGCCAACACTATAATTACAATTTGTGTCAAATTGTCTTGTAATGTTTAAAGATAATCAGTAATGATTGTAAAGGCTGGAAGATTTATATAGAAAATTTTAAGTCTTCCATATTGTAAACATTTAAGTGCTGTATACTGTAAACATTTAAGTGTTGTATACTGTAAACATTTAAGTGTTGTATACTGCAAACATTTAAGTGTTGTATACTGTAAACATTTAAGTGTTGTATATTGCAAGTATTTAAGTGTTGTGTATTGCAAACATTTAAGTGTTGTATATTGCAAACATTTAAGTGTTGTATACTGTAAACATTTAAGTGTTGTATATTGCAAACATTTAAGTGTTGTATACTGTAAACATTTAAGTGTTGTATATTGCAAACATTTAAGTGTTGCATACTGTAAACATTTAAGTGTTGTATACTGTAAACATTTGTGTCTCGGATACTGTAAACTTTGTGTCTCGTAAACTGTAAACTTTTAAGTCCTCTATACTGTAAGCATATATGTCTCATGTTTTATTTTATGGTAAATGTTTTGAGTCTTTTACACTGTAAAAGTTTAAGTCTCAAAAACTGTAAACATTAAGTCTCAAAAACTGTAAACATTAGTCTCAAAAACTGTAAACATTAGTCTCAAAAACTGTAAACATTAGTCTCAAAAACTGTAAATATTAGTCTCAAAAACTGTAAATATTAGTCTCAAAAACTGTAAATATTAGTCTCAAAAACTGTAAATATTAGTCTCAAAAACTGTAAATATTAGTCTCAAAAACTGTAAACATTAGTCTCAAAAACTGTAAATATTAGTCTCAAAAACTGTAAATATTAGTCTCAAAAACTGTAAACATTAGTCTCAAAAACTGTAAACATTAGTCTCAAAAACTGTAAATATTAGTCTCAAAAACTGTAAACATTAGTCTCAAAAACTGTAAATATTAGTCTCAAAAACTGTAAACATTAGTCTCAAAAACTGTAAACATTAGTCTCAAAAACTGTAAATATTAGTCTCAAAAACTGTAAACATTAGTCTCAAAAACTGTAAATATTAGTCTCAAAAACTGTAAATATTAGTCTCAAAAACTGTAAATATTAGTCTCAAAAACTTAGTCTCAAAAACTGTAAATATTAGTCTCAAAAACTGTAAATATTAGTCTCAAAAACTGTAAACATCAGTCTCAAAAACTGTAAACATTAGTCTCAAAAACTGTAAATATTAGTCTCAAAAACTGTAAACATTAGTCTCAAAAACTGTAAACATTAGTCTCAAAAACTGTAAACATTAGTCTCAAAAACTGTAAACATTAGTCTCAAAAACTGTAAATATTAGTCTCAAAAACTGTAAATATTAGTCTCAAAAACTGTAAACATTAGTCTCAAAAACTGTAAACATTAGTCTCAAAAACTGTAAACATTAGTCTCAAAAACTGTAAACATTAGTCTCAAAAACTGTAAACATTAGTCTCAAAAACTGTAAACATTAGTCTCAAAAACTGTAAACATATTAGTCTCAAAAACTGTAAACATTAGTCTCAAAAACTGTAAACATTAGTCTCAAAAACTGTAAACATTAGTCTCAAAAACTGTAAACATTAGTCTCAAAAACTGTAAACATTAAAAAACTGTAAACATTAGTCTCAAAAACTGTAAACATTAGTAAAAACTGTATTAGTCTCAAAAACTGTAAACATTAGTCTCAAAAACTGTAAAAACATTAGTCTCAAAAACTGTAAACATTAGTCTCAAAAACAAAAACTGTAAACATTAGTCTCAAAAACTGTAAACATTAGTCTCAAAAACTGTAAATATTAAACTGTAAATCTCAAAAACTGTAAACATTAAAAAACTGTCTCAAAAACTGTAAACATTAGTCTCAAAAACTGTAAACATTATTAGTCTCAAAAACTGTAAATATTAGTCTCAAAAACTGTAAACATTAGTCTCAAAAACTGTAAACATTAGTCTCAAAAACTGTAAACTTAGTCTCAAAAACTGTAAACATTAGTCTCAAAAACTGTAAACATTAGTCTCAAAAACTGTAAACATTAGTCTCAAAAACTGTAAACATTAGTCTCAAAAACTGTAAACATTAGTCTCAAAAACTGTAAATATTAGTCTCAAAAACTGTAAACAAAAACTGTAAATATTAGTCTCAAAAACTGTAAACATATTCAAAAACTGTCATTAGTCAAAAACTGTAAATATTAGTCTCAAAAACTGTAAACATTAGTCTCAAAAACTGTAAACATTAGTCTCAAAAACTGTAAACATTAGTCTCAAAAACTGTAAACATTATCTCAAAAACTGTCATTAGTCAAAAACTGTAAACATTAGTCTCAAAAACTGTAAATATTAGTCTCAAAAACTGTAAATATTAGTCTCAAAAACTGTAAATATTAGTCTCAAAAACTGTAAACATTAAGTCTCAAAAACTGAAAACATTAGTCTCAAAAACTGTAAACATTAGTCTCAAAAACTGTAAACATTAGTCTCAAAAACTGTAAACATTAGTCTCAAAAACTGTAAAAATTAGTCTCAAAAACTGTAAACATTAGTCTCAAAAACTGTAAACATTAGTCTCAAAAACTGTAAACATTAGTCTCAAAAACTGTAAACATTAGTCTCAAAAACTGTAAACATTAGTCTCAAAAACTGTAAACATTAGTCTCAAAAACTGTAAATATTAGTCTCAAAAACTGTAAACATTAAGTCTCAAAAACTGTAAACATTAGTCTCAAAAACTGTAAACATTAGTCTCAAAAACTGTAAACATTAGTCTCAAAAACTGTAAACATTAGTCTCAAAAACTGTCAACATTAGTCTCAAAAACTGTAAATATTAGTCTCAAAAACTGTAAACATTAGTCTCAAAAACTGTAAATATTAGTCTCAAAAACTGTAAACATTAGTCTCAAAAACTGAAAATATTAGTCTCAAAAACTGTAAACATTAGTCTCAAAAACTGTAAACATTAGTCTCAAAAACTGTAAATATTAGTCTCAAAAACTGTAAACATTAGTCTCAAAAACTGTAAACATTAGTCTCAAAAACTGTAAATATTAGTCTCAAAAACTGTAAACATTAGTCTCAAAAACTGTAAACATTAAGTCTCAAAAACTGTAAATATTAGTCTCAAAAACTGTAAATATTAAGTCTCAAAAACTGTAAACATTAAGTCTCAAAAACTGTAAACATTTATGTCACATGCACAGTAAACTTTTAGGTCTCATATTCTGTATAACTTATACTGTAAATGTTTGCCTTGTATATTGTAAATGATTAAGTCTTGTATACTTTACTGTGCTCCAGCCCTATCCATGCATTTAGTCATAATTTGCCCCATCCACTCCTGTAACAGGTATCCCAAACCATCTCCAGCCTTACCAATCCACTCCTGTCACAGGTATCCCAAACCATCTCCAGCCTTACCCATCCACTCCTGTCACAGGTACCCTTACCCCACACCATCTCCAGTCTTACCCACCCACTGCTGTCAAAGGTACCCTGACCCCACACCATCTCCAGCCTTACCCATCCACTCCTGTCACAGGTACCCCACACCATCTCCAGTCTTACCCACCCACTCCTGTCACAGGTACTCTTACCCCACACCATCTCCAGTCTTAACCACCCACACCTGTCACAGGTACCCCAAACCATCTCCAGCCTTACTCATCCACTCCTGTAACAGGTACCCCTCACTATCTCCAGTCTTACCCATTCACTCCTGTCACAGGTACCCTTACCACACACCATCTCTAGCCTTACCCAACCAATCCTGTCACAGGTACCCTACACTATCTCCAGTCTTACCCATTCACTCCTGTCACAGGTACCCCTACCCCACACCATCTCCAGCATTACTTATCCACTCTTGTCACTGGTACCCCACACCATCTCCAGCCTTACCCACCCAATCATGTCACAGGTACCTCAAACTTTCTCCAGCTCAACCCAACCACTCCTGTCACATGTACCCTTACCCCACACCATCTCCAGCCATATCCAACCACTCCTGTCATAGGTACCCCAAACTTTCTCCAGCTCAACCCAACCACTCCTGTCACATGTACCCTTACCCCACACCATCTCCAGCCTTACTCATCCACTCCTGTCACTGGTACCCCACACCATCTCCAGCACGACCCACCCCCTCCTGTCACAGGTACCCCAAACTACCTCCAGGTCAACCTAACCACTCCTGTCACAGGTACCCTTACCCCACACCATCTCCAGCCTTACCCACCCAATCCTGTCACAGGTATCCCAAACCATCTCCAGCCTCACCCATCCACTCCTGTCACAGGTACCCTTACCCTACACCATCTCCAGTCTTACCCACCCACTGCTGTCACAGGTACCCTTACCCCACACCATCTCCATCCTTACCCATCCACTCCTGTCACAGGTACCCTTACCCCTCACCATCTCCAGCCTTACCCACCCACTCCTGTCACAGGTATCCCAAACTATCTCCAGACCAACCCAACCACTCCTGTCACAGGCACCCCTTGCCCCACACCATCTCCAGCCGTACCCAACCACTCCTGTCACAGGTACCCTTACCCCACACCATCTCCAGCCTTACCCACCCACTCCTGTCACAGGTACCCTAACCCACACCATCTCCAGCTTACCCACCCACCCCTGTCACAGGTTCCCTTGCCCCACACCATCTCCAGCTTACCCACCCACCCCTGTCACAGGTACCCCAAACCATCTCCAGCACGACCCACCCCCTCCTGTTACATGTACCCTTATCCCACACTATCTCCAGTCTTACCCACCCACTCCTGTCACAGGTACCCTTACTCCACACCATCTGCAGTCTTACCCACCCACTCCTGTCACAGGGACCCTTACCACACACCATCTCCAGCCCTACCCATCCAATCCTGTCACTGGTAGCCTTATTCCACACCTATCACTGGTACCTTACCCTACACCATCTCCAACCCTACCCGCCCACGCCTGTGACCCAATTCTATCCTACACACCATATAATTACATATTACTCACATCTCCCTTGCCTAGACCAACTAAATTGTTGTGTAAAAGACTGGCTGCCTAAATATCAGTAGAGAATGTATTTATAGATATTCTGTATTGTTTGTATGTACACTACTAACTTATGTATACCTCAGGGGAGGGGAGAAAATGTTACTAATTGTATGTAACATGTAGACTCTACAGTATATTTTATATATATAGCCTAGTACATTAAACAGCCACTACTATGTAACTATTGATTTGCCTCCCTACTGAGAGATAGCTTAGCGACCTTCAAGGGTCAGCGTTACTATTTATAGATAGTGCCAGCCATTAATAGCTTGAGCTGTAGATATTACAGTCCAGCCAGCCCTGGGAGTTAGCTAGCCTGTGTGTTAGCAAATCTACCATTCTCAACGTTCCCTGATCGGATCATTTAAACCTGGAACAACGCAATCGGCTAAAATATCTGTTGGTGAAATTATTTCAGAAATTAGACAAGGCTGAATCCAGTACTTTAACATAGTTTGTTTGCCAGGATTCTGTGAAAAAAATGTAAACAAATGGCAATGGTTTGTAGTGTATGGAAGCTATAAAGCTGGTAGGTATATATACCTACATTAAACTGCCTTGGAGTTCAGACTAGTGCTAGATTGAGAACAGCATAACTCTTGTGTGTGTTTGGCTGCCTAACCTTTCCCAACCCAAGAAAATTTAATTGAAAGCTAGCATAGCACTAATTGTGCAGGACAAGCAATCAGTAATTGGATTTCATTAACAAGAGGGTAAGTATAGGGTCTGAAAGCTCTCAACTTCTACTTCTAGGACAGTTTGAAATGGTGGTGGTGTTTACGTGTGCAGATGTCTTGTGCTTCTCACATGTGCATCAACGTTGAACTAGTTGTGTGTGAACGTATTTCTGGATGGATACATTATTTATGTTGGGAGAATGTGTTCCTGTTGTCTTTCTATAAACCAGATAAAAACTTTGACACTCTTGTTTGACAGCTTTACAGAGAGAGAGAGTTTCATTTGCTAATGTATTATTGTTCAATCTAATTGTTTTGCTGCAGGTTAAATTATGTCCTAATTGGACAGAGTTCAGTAAACTCCGAGTGACCATTACTTGTTTGTGTGAAGAACAATATTACTTCATAGGTGTATAGGAACATGTGTTAGGAAGTATGTTGCTTTACATGTGTGTATGACTTTGACGAAAAATGTTTCTATAAATATGTGTATGAATTTGTGTAAGACAGAATGTTCCTACATGTGTATGAATTTGTATAAGACAGAATGTTCCTACATATGTGCATGTGAATTTGTATAAGACAGAATGTTCCTACATATGTGCATGTGAATTTGTATAAGACAGAATGTTCCTACATATGTGCATGTGAATTTGTATAAGACAGAATGTTCCTACATATGTGCATGTGAATTTGTATAAGACAGAATGTTCCTACATGTGTGCATGTGAATTTGTATAAGACAGAATGTTCCTACATGTGTGCATGTGAATTTGTATAAGACAGAATGTTCCTACATGTGTGCATGTGAATTTGTATAAGACAGAATGTTCCTACATGTGTGCATGTGAATTTGTATAAGACAGAATGTTCCTACATGTGTGCATGTGAATTTGTATAAGACAGAATGTTCCTACATGTGTATGAATTTGTGTCAGAAAGAATGTGTCTCACATATGTGTTTGTTGATTTGTGTGAAGATATATAATACTACATATGTGCCTGTGAATTTCTATCAGGAAGAATGCTTGTACATTAGTGTATGAATTTTGTGTGACAAAGAATGTTTGACATATGTGTGTAATTGATGAAAGGAAGAATGTTTTTACTTATATATGTATATTTGTATGGGAAAGAAGAATGTTTCTACATGTGTGTGTGAATTCATGAAAGACAAAATATTTGTACATGTGTGTGAATTTGTCAAAGGGAGAATGTTTTTATGTGTGTTGATTTGTGTGATGAATGTTTTTACATATATATTTATATATATATATATAAATATGTAGGAGTTTCAGTTGTGAAACCCACTTTTCAGATTTTGATTGTTATTATATATTCAATGTGACTGACGGTGGTCATTTTGGATTTTGATAGTTTCTCCAGAACTACTGAAAGAATCGCTATGACACCAAATATAATCAGTATTTTTCCTAGTTATACATGCCATGTTTAGAGAATAGAATGATGCAATATTCAAGATGGCTGCCATCAGTCATTTTGAATATTGACTTTTGAATTTTCTTATTGCTATTTCTTCAGAAGTACATGTACTGGAAAATGAACACATAAGAATGAAAGGAACAACCTTTTGTAAAACTGAAATATGTTGTATGATGGTGGCAATGATAGTGTCTCGGCTGTGGGGGCTGCATGGAATTACATAGTAGGAAGTAGTTGGATGTTGTGAGAACAGCTCGGGGTACTTGAGGCCAGGATAAGGGTTGTTGGAGAGAAATTCTCTTTTAATGTGACTGAAACAAGGAGGTTTTATATATTTCACCTGATAGTTTATAGCACCAAGTGTTAATAAAGTAGTATAAGAGTTCAAGAGGTGGTGAGTCAAGTTAGAACATACAGAAACAGCACAGATCTCTGTAGATAACCATTGGTCAGCTGTAGGAATATAGAACAGGTCAAGATAAGGTCAAAACTAGGCCTGTATAGCAGTATAATAATAGTATAATCATTACTAATTGGGATAAGTCACAGATTTACTGAAAATTAACTATAGTTGGTGAAAATCATGGACAGAGTTTTGGAATGGATGTTGTCATTAAGATACACAAGAATATCAACTGGTTTATTCAGCCACAAAATTTGATCAGTTCATGTTCCTCAAAATTCTGTCAATTAAGGTTTGTATGTAAACTTTCTCACTCTGATATGTGTGTTACCGAGTGACCCAGTTATGTCTATTTATAGGAACAGCCCACTTAAAATGGTAAATAATACATTTACCCTCAAATGAAATGACTGGTTTACCAAGTTATAAAAAACGAAATATATTTATGTTGAACAGGAAGTAGGCTTAACATTTTACAGTCACTAGGAAACAACATGTTAATAATGACATTTTTAAGTTCTGTGCACTTATGCTATCATAGAATTTTAATTCCGTATCAGAAAAAATGGCTGTTTTTTCATGGGGACATTCCTGTGTGAACATACAGTTGCCTGTAAGTTTTAGAATTCTTTAGTTGTAGGTTAACACTGCAGCTACTTTCATTAAACATTCACCTTTTCACTTTCTCTTCAAAATTGTTCATGTTTAGCCATTGATATTATAATTCATTTGATTACTTGACTGACTACCCAATGAATATAAAGGTTGTTTTGGGTGAGGTCTCATTTAAGTAGCAGGTGGCTACCTCAATGAACAACATATGGAAGGTCCATAATATATGCCCCCAGAGCAATAAGGATGAAGTGTCTTGCCCAAAGACACATCAATTCCATAACTCAGCTTTCAGATAATCACAAAATGTCATGGATATAGGGAACGTGGAAATGTTCATCTTGTATCATCACCTGGGGTTATAATAGTCCAACACTCAATGGAGTTAGCGCCTGTAAAACTCATGGAACTATACAATTGATTTAAAGTGAAATCAAATTTGTGTTGTATACATTAATTATTGAAAGAAGAAAATTTTAATGTACCTCAGTTGTTATGGTTAAAATCACTATGGATAGGGTAAGTAGGAAGTGGTATGTCTAGAAGTTCTTTTGTCTTGACCTTAAATACCAAGGAGACTGCTATGTACTATTTAATGAATATACTTTAGTTGTTTTAATATATAAGTAAAGTACATATATAACGCATTCTAAATTCTAAACATCACCATGAGGGGAACATTTCACTCACTTAGGGAAACATGGTATTTCTGTACCAAGTATCATGTTATTGTACTGATTTTTCTGACAAGGTTTCATGCATAATATTTAATTTTCTGAATTAATTGCACATTTAATTAACATACCTGCCATCAAATTTAAATTAAGATTGCCCCAGAGAAGGGTTGATAATAGCTATAGCTGGGTTTGACCTATATATGTGGGTCAAAGGGTATCGAACACAGAAAGACCTACACCCATTGTTGAGGGGGTAGTAAAGGTCAGTCCTTAGTTGTAATCATGTATTGTAGGCTGAGGTGTATATATACTTGTGTATGTGTATACAGTAGATTATAAACTATGTAATAAGGTGTCTTATCTCTGCTATCATATAGGTAATTAGGACCGGTGTAATAAGCTTGAGTGCTATAATTAGATATTGTTCCGTAGCACTAATTCTTCGTGATTTATCATGTACCTAGCTTGTTTTGATGAAATGAATTTCATTAGTGGAGGTTAATCAATGTATACCAAATTATTAAAGGCTCTGTATCATGCTTCTACTGTTAATAAATCTTTATATAGAATATAGAAATGATATGATTGAAGTACATCACAGATATGTGGGATTTTCCAAAGTAGAGATAGTTTATTTATCCAATCTCATCTTTAATTTGCACAGTAATTGTCAACTTCATTAAAAAAAAAACCTTGACTTATATACACAACTGGTTCTGTATTATTTGTATGTATATATAATCAGGGTAACGACAATGTTTGAACTGATATGATTATTTGATCAGGGTCGGATTGTTAAATCAATTTCTTCTCTTCATCTCCCATCTTTTCTTTCCTTCGTTTTTCCCTACTACATTTTACATTTAAAAATAAGTTGTAACTGTACATAGCTGTTGTCACATTCATTGTATATATTATTGTGGAGAGGGCTCTTATAAGTTGAGAGAACTTGTGCCCAATCCATTTGCTTTCGGCAATAAAATATGTTTAATATGTTTAAACTAATCAGGGTTTCAATGAAATCTTAACTTACATTATGATCCAATCAGGGTTATGACAGTGTTTAAACTAATGTGATGTTTTAATCAGGGTTATGATAATGTTTTATCTAATGTGATGATTTAATCAGGGTTATGACAATGTTTGAACTAGTGTGATGATTTAATCAGGGTTATGACAATGTTTGAACTAGTGTGATGATTTAATCAGGGTTATGACAATGTTTGAACTAGTGTGATGATTTAATCAGGGTTATGACAATGTTTGAACTAGTGTGATGATTTAATCAGGGTTATGACAATGTTTGAACTAGTGTGATGATTTAATCAGGGTTATGACAATGTTTGAACTAGTGTGATGATTTAATCAGGGTTATGACAATGTTTGAACTAGTGTGATGATTTAATCAGGGTTATGACAGTGTTTGAACTAGTGTGATGATTTAATCAGGATTATGACAATGTTTGAACTAGTGTGATGATTTAATCAGGGTTATGACAATGTTTGAACTAGTGTGATGATTTAATCAGGGTTATGACAATGTTTGAACTAGTGTGATGATTTAATCAGGGTTATGACAATGTTTGAACTAGTGTGATGATTTAATCAGGGTTATGACAATGTTTGAACTAGTGTGATGATTTAATCAGGGTTATGACAATGTTTGAACTAGTGTGATGATTTAATCATGGTTATGACAGTGTTTGAACTAGTGTGATCATTTAATCAGGGTTATGCTATATTTGAAATAATGTGATGAAAAATAATGTTTGAAATGATTTGATCTTCTAATCAGGGTTATGACGATGTTTGAACTGATGCAATGAGATTTTTTTAGAATTTGGATCTATTTCAAACAGCTGAAACAAATGCTTTTTCAATACATGTTTCATCTAGTAATATTTGCCATCATTATTTATTCAGTAAGTATCCCTGGAGCCAACTTATATTATTTGACTAAAAGTACATTTGGCTTTGATCGATGAAATGGGGATGCTTATTTTCAGGTTGATGTACAACGATTGGGTTAAGAGCTGATCTTGGTTTGATAAATGTTTGCCTAGAGACTTTCATTGTTATAGAAATTCTTGGTGCTTGGTTATAAATAGCATTATGTTATGAAATTGTACTGATCATGTAAGCTTGTTGAATTATGTCAGTACTTCATCATATTCCAAGAAGTTTATCAGTATTGAAGGTTAACCTTGATTAGAAAGATGAATATTGTGTAGTAATATATTTTCAAGATAAGAGGTTTTTGAAAAGCTCAGACATCAAAGGGGTTTAACACCAGAAATTACTGTGTATTTCAGTAATAAAATTTGAATGACATGTTACATACTGTTAATGCTTGATATTTATAGTGATGCCAAATTGGTGAAGGATGAAGTAATGAACAAAGAGTAACAAAGTTATTCAGGACTAAAAGAATGTGTTAATACCCTATCGCAATAATGTATTCCTTACTGCGGACAAAGTAGGGCACAATCAAGGACACAGAATGAATACTATAGTGTGTTCACCATTCTTTATCAGCAAAGTAGGTCACAGTCAGCAGAACAGAAGAGATACCCTATGCAATGTTCACATTACTCTCTCAATAAAGTAGGTCACATTAAAGAGGTTTACAGAAGCAGTTATCATGGAAACCCAAATAACTAAATAAGAGACATGAAGAATTTGTTTTCCAAACGATTGCTGAATCCATGTATTCTTTTTACACTTCACTGCATATGATGTATTTTTAACTTACTGTTTCAAACTGTTTTTGTGCATTGAATTAGAATAATTTCAATTGTGGTAATCTGCAGCAGAGGAAATATATGAACATTAGAGATATTGACTACTTGACGTTTTCTAATTATATGACAACCATACTACTGCTATATGTGCCATGTTTATCGTACAAAAAACCTGGGCAGACACAATTTCTCTGTAACCCATATTGACAAATGGGTTCATTGTGGATTTTCCTTTCTTCAGAACAAATAGTTTTATCACAAAAATCCTGGGCTTATTTGTGCTGTAATTTTGCACTTGAAAGATTTATACTGTAAACAAGGATTGTAATGCTTGGAAAATCCAGGTTTGTGACTTAAAATGCACAAAGTTAAGACTATGTATACCTTGATTATTGCAAAAATAGGACTGGAAAAAATACCTGAGTTTCCAAGTACATCAATGATTATACAATTACAAACTGGCTTTGTTTTTGAGGTTTCTAAGTTTATTGATAGTGTTATATACTGGGAGTTTGATATATGCAGGATTATCTGGTTTAGGAATGGTTGATATCATGTTATGTTTTGATTTGGTAGGTGCAGATTGTTTCTGGTCAAAATAAAACAAAATAGAGACACTTTTAAAAATAAAAAAATATTACAGGTAATAAAATATTTTGACAAATTTTTTATGAGTCATTTAATTATATTGAATTGGTGTTAAGGGTAATAAGAATATATAATTAAATTATTAGAAATTAAGTTTAAAAGAAAGAGTTATTACGATGATAAATTGGTAACTGTAAATATAATCATAAATCTAAAATATTATTTAATCAGTTTAAGATTTGAGGTTTTTTAATGTAAAACCAATTTTCATGAGGTAATACTTACCATAACTTTAGTATACTCCATAAAGTTATGGTAATTATTACTGAAATGAAATTGACATTTTTGACAGAAAGTATATTGAATATGTATTTTGCTGAAAACTTAAGAGAAATTCAAACATTTGGAAGTGAATTAATTTTTTGATGGTGAAAAGTGACATCAGTTGGGATGGTATATCATTTCAATGTGACAAATAAGATAATTTTTTTATTTGTTGTAATTAAATGAATTCAAGTAGATCTGCATAAATTGAGATATGAATATAGTTATAACTGTTTTAATATGGTATAAAACAAGACTTGTGGGTAAATGTGAATTATTTTATTTTCAGACATAACATATTTATCCTACAGTGAACTTTAGGGAGGGGGGGTCGAAGTCAGTCAACTAGCCCGGTGATGGGGGCAACATCTACCTACTACATATTATGATGAGCTTATTACTTAACAATGACATAACATTAAATTGCATTTCTAATGCAACAGTGATGTATACAGATGGGCTTATAACGTAACATAGCCACCAGGCACCAGAAAGGAGTTGTTTAATGTAACCACATTTACAATGAATGTTTGGGGAAAGGGGTCGTTTAGTATGTATAACCACAGTTACAACAAATGGTTGAGAATGGGGTCTTAAACATGAAATATAAATGTTAGAGGAAGGGGTCATTTAGTACATAACCATAGCTACAACAAATGGTATAGAAAAGGGTCATTTAGTACATAACCATAGCTACAACAAATGGTATAGAAAAGGTCATTTAGTACATAACCACAGCTACAACAAATGGTAGAGAACAAGGTCATTTAGTACATAACCATAGCTACAACAAATGGTATAGAAAAGGTCATTTTATACATAACCACAGTTACAACAAATGGTAGAGAAAGGTCATTTAATACATAACCAAAGTTACAACAAATGGTTTAGAAAAGGTCATTTAGTACATAACCACAGTTACAACAAATTGTAGAGAAAGGTCATTTAGTACATAACTAAAGTTACAACAAATGGTTTAGAAAAGGTCATTTAGTACATAACCACAGTAACAACAAATGGTATAGAAAAGGGTCATTTAGTACCAAACCACAGCAACAACAAATGGTATAGAAAAGGTCATTTAGTACATAACCACAGTTACAACAAATGGTATAGAAAAGGGTCATTAAGTACATACCCCAGCTACAACAAATGGTATAGAAAAGGGTCATTAAGTACATACCCCCAGCTACAACAAATGGTATATAAAAGGGTCATTTAGTACATACCCCCAGCTACAACAAATGGTATATAAAAAGGGTCATTTGGTACATAACCACAGTAACAACAAATGGTATAGAACAAGGTCATTTAGTACATAACCACAGTTACAACAAATGGTAGAGAACAAGGTCATTTAGTACATAACCACAGTTACAACAAATGGTAAAGAACAAGGTCATTTAGTACATAACCACAGTTACAACAAATTGTAGAGAACAAGGTCATTTAGTACATAACCACAGTTACAACAAATTGTAGAGAACAAGGTCATTTAGTACATAACCACAATTACAACAAATGATAGAGAACAAGGTCATTTAGACTTTACATCTGCTTTCTTTTCCTACTGGTGAAACAGGTGGAGGGAAGGAGACTATAATTTTCTGCTCCTTCCATGTTCACACATGCATCATTACAATATATCTGGACATTTTTAAGTTAATGGATTGTTGGGTCAAGGTCACTGTAACTATGTTTAGACAATCATTGTCAGTGCTCCAGTGTCTTCATTCTTTCAGGGTATTCACATCAAACTTCACTCACTTATTAAGCATAAAATATCACAATTTAAGATATAAGGTTGTTAAGTCAAGGTCACACAGTATGCTGGTAGAGATACATAAATGTACAATTTTGTTAATTCATTTGATGATTAATTTTGTTCTTAATTTTCTGTCTTTCCAGATCCCATTGGTCCACATGAATCCACCATGGAAATAAACAGCCACTTTTCTCCTGTCAGTCAAAAAGCTGGTAAGTTTCTTTTTAACTATTGATTAACAATCACTTATACCAGAGGTAATTATTGGAGAATTTTGTGGATTTGCAGATTTAGGACCAAGATAGAAATGGATGTATGGTAGGTATAAATTCTTTCCAAATATTGTAAATGTTTCCCTGTGGGTATATAGATATCAGGAAAGGACGAACAGTGTGTGTGACTGTTTTATTGATGATTGTTCTAAAGTTATCATAAACTAAAGACTTCCTGATATAAAATGAAACTTTTAACAAACATCAGAATTTTGATTAAAGAGTCATCATGGTGTAATATGGTCAGCTAGCTACCAACAACATGGCATTTATCTGGAGAGCTAGCTAGGAACAATATGGTGTTTATCTGAACAGCTAGCTACAAACAACATGGTGTTTATCTGGACAGCTAGCTACCACCAACATGGTGTTTATATGCCTAGCTAGCTACCAACAACATGATGTTTATCTGGACAGCTAGCTACCAACAACATGGTGTTTATCTGCCCAGCTAGCTACCACCAACATGGTGTTTATATGCCTAGCTAGCTACCAACAACATGATGTTTATCTGGACAGCTAGCTACCAACAACATGGTGTTTATCTGCCCAGCTAGCTACCAACAACATGGTGTTTATCTGGACAGCTAGCTACCAACAACATGATGTTTATCTGCCCAGCTAGCTACCAACAACATGGTGTTTATCTGCCCAGCTTGCTACCAACAACATGGTGTTGATCTGGACAGCTAGCTACCAACAACATGGTGTTTATCTGAACAGCTAGCTACCAACAACATGGTGTTTATCTGCCCAGCTAGCTACCAACAATATGGTATTTATATAGTCAGCTAGCTACCAACAACATTGTGTTTATCTGGACAGCTGGCTACCAACAACATGGTGTTGATCTGGTTAGCTAGCTACCAGCAACATGGTGTTGATCTGGACAGCTAGCTACCAACAACATGGTGTTTAACATGACAACTAGCTACCAACAACATTGTGTTTGTCTGGTCAGCTAGCTGCCACGAACATGATGTTTATCTGGACAGCTAGCTACCAACATCATGGTGTTTATCTGGACAGCTAGCTACCAACATCATGGTGTTTATCTGGGCAGCTAGCTACCAACAACATGATGTTTATCTGGACAGCTTGCTACCGATAACATGATGTTTATCTGAACAGCTAGCTACCAAAAACATGGTGTTTATCTGGACAGCTAGCTACCAACAACATGATGTTTATCTGAACAGCTAGCTACCAAAAACATGATGTTGATCTGGACAGCTTGCTACCACCAACATGGTGTTTATCATGACAGCTAGCTACCAACAACATGGTGTTATCTGGTCAGCTAGCTACCAACAACATGGTGTTTATCATGACAGCTAGCTACCACCAACATGGTGTTGATCTGGACAGCTAGCTACCAACAACATGGTGTTGATCTGGACAGCTAGTTACCAACCACATTGTGTTTATCTGCCCAGCTTGCTACCAACAACATGGTGTTTATCTGGATAGCTAGCTACCAACAACATAGTGTTTATCTGGATAGCTAGCTACCAACAACATGGTGTTTATCTGCCCAGCTTGCTACCAACAACATGGTGTTTATCTGGATAACTAGCTACCAACAACATTGTGTTTATCTGGACAGCTTGCTACCAACAACATGGTGTTATCTGGTCAGCTAGCTACCAACAACATGGTGTTTATCTGCCCAGCTAGCTACCAACAACATAGTGTTTATCTGGACAGCTAGCTACCAACAACATGGTGTTTATCTGGACAGCTAGCTACCAACAACATTGTGTTTATCTGCCCAGCTTGCTACCAACAACATGGTGTTTATCTGCCCAGCTTGCTACCAACAACATGGTGTTTATCTGGATAACTAGCTACCAACAACATGGTGTTTATCTGCCCAGCTTGCTACCAACAACATGGTGTTTATCTGGATAACTAGCTACCAACAACATGGTGTTTATCTGGATAGCTAGCTACCAACAACATGGTGTTATCTGGATAGCTAGCTACCACCAACATGGTGTTTATCATGACAGCTAGCTACCAACAACATGGTGTTATCTGGTCAGCTAGCTACCAACAACATGGTGTTATCTGGACAGCTAGCTACCAACAACATGGTGTTTATCTGGACAGCTAGCTACCAACAACATGGTGTTTATCTGGTCAGCACATTTCAAAATAGAGGAGCTTAATTCTCATTTGAATTCTTCTTTTAAGCAATAAAGACAAGTTTGCTATCTTAATTTTATCTTAGAAACTTTTATTTTGTGACCTGATTTTCAAATTTTATATAATATGGAATTTTTCATGAATATATATTGATTTTGTTATAGAAAATGCCAATAACTTGATTATAGATATGAACTATATTGATCTGTATTGACAGCTGATGTTACTATATATACTGTTCATGTTGATGACCAGATTTGTTTTCAGAAAAGTTATCGATATTGTAAATGAAATAAATACAAAATGCTAGCTGGCCAGGTGTAAATGGGGTATTGAATCGGTTGTAGTAATTTCATGTTAGTACAGGTATGCACCAGGTAAACATTACATGTAAAATACAGGTGTGTTGTTGATATTACACTGATATCGAGGTGCTTTACACTTGTGCTATTTACCTGTATATTTACATGCTGTATATGAAATATATGAAAAGAAATTAGAACATTGAACCACACCTGTTAACGATCTGTTACCACACCTGGATGTATGTATGAGAGATAAGTATAGTGTCCTTCCTCCCGCAGCAGGGGGTATGGCATTGCTGATGATAATTGTCTTCCTGCTCTGTTCAGAGATGATTACAGCATAATGGCCGAGCTTTGTTTGGCTATAGGACCATAGCTGCTAGTAGCAATAGTGTTGATAGAATTGAACGGGGTCCACATTGTTTACCCATTCAAACCTTTAGCTCATAACTCTTCATAGATGAAGCCTTTGTATATATGTATGTGCGCGTTGAGTGAGTTTTCAGTAATCCATTTTTGCACCAGGTTTAAATGGTTATATAAATACAATACGTGATCATAAAAGGTGAATAAATGTGTTTCTGATGAATACAATGTTTGCATGTTTTGTTCATGTTGATTCCGGTGGTGCCTTAATTGTGATCAATTTTCTGCCGTTTGAAAAAAAAATGAATAAATATATCACATTAAAAAGTTTCAGACAATTATGAACTAATGGGCATTTGGATGGAATTCTTCTCCAAAGATGTATGAAATATTGTTTAGTAAATAATGGATGTTTTTTTTTATAGATTTTGGTTTTAATTCTTTAAATCTCAGCTCATTACAAACATGTCCGCTTTAATATCCCTTATTAACAGAAAATGGCATTCTTAATAGTAGAAAAAAACTTCAAAAGAGGTGGTGTTCCGAGTCTGATTTTGCTTATTTGATTAAGTTTCAATAACACATATATACTTAGATGTACAAGTCTTACAGCATATGTTCAGTGTTATAGCACTTCAACAAATGTCAAAGCAAACATGAAAACTGCATTCAAAATTATATTGGATTAAAAAAATATCTTTTTCATTAAAATTTTCAAATGAAAATTGATAATTTTCGATGATGGTTATGAAAAAAATCTGCTTTAGTGAATTTTGAAGTAATGCTTAATATCTAAATATCTTATAAGATTAATTTGATATTTTTTGAGAGTTAGCTTTTGAATAGAAAGGAATGGAGTTGTTGTTTAACAAGATTGTTTACAATCACGAACTGAAATCCAAATGAGCTTGGTTTAGATGATGACAGTTATACTTCAGATAAACATATTGAAATTGTTTTGTCATGATATTAACATTAAAGCTGGAGTGTTTCCTGGAATAATTGTAAAAGATAGAGTCAGATCTCAATGACTAGTCATGTTCACCATTCATTACCATAAAGATTACAGACAAAATGGTTATCATATTTTGTGCACAGATAAACAACTTGCTTTTAAGAAGCATGTCTGAGATAACTGGTTTCACATGCACAACTGTTGGGTTTACCCAGGAGAAATTAAAACTGCCTTATTTCAATATTCCATGTTAAGTTCAGCTTAGCAGTTAATTTTACTTGGACTATAATAAGGTTGTAGTTTTTTTTATATATCTATGGATTAAGTGGTATTACACTATTGTCTTGAATCACTCTATTGCAGTTGAAATTGACCACCGATTACTGTTAACAAGCTTTTTTTTGTAGCTGCTAACTTCGCGATTTCAGTGATATATCAAGTTTGTGGCAAGTAACTTTCGGTTTAGAGCACAATTCATGGCACATAGTCTCAATCTCTAGGGATCAGCCCCATATCTGGTCTGGTTCCTCATTTAAGGATCAGCCCCATATCTGGTCTGGTTCCTTGTTTGGTCAGTACAGGTGAGCTTACTATATACAAAGTTAGAGGGACATCAGTCAGTATAGTGAACAGTGTTCACACACCAGAATGACTTTTGACATCTTATTCACAGCATACTTTTCAAATTCATTAAGTGTCTTATAGTTTTGTTTGGATGGCAATGTGAAGAACAATCACAACAATCATAGTTTCTTGAAAGTTTGCATGACTTTATATAGGTAACCCAGTCATAGAACTTAAACATGCTACAGATCTCTTAGTGGAGTGTTTCATTTTACCAAACATGAACTCCTGAAAGTCCCACGCTAAAGGGAATAAATTGTGTAAATTATCTTTGATTAATTTCCCCAATTTTGCCTTGGACCATGTCATTCACTAAGCCAGTCATACAGAAAGTGGTTTAGAGTCTATCAATATATATTGTAGATTCTGTTATTCTCACCTTGTCATTGTTATTCAAGAGGTAAAGGTGCGAGTTTCTTACATGTGACAGGATACAATCAGGTAACAGATGTTACAGCAGAGCTGGTCTCTTGTTACTGAGAAACAGAAAAATAGGACCTTTGATTTTCAAAATTCTTACACTCTTCACTTAAATTAGATCC